TAACCTGATAATCGTGCCTATTGCAACAGGGAAGAGGCGAGAAGGCTGAAAAGAAGGTCGACTTTGTGCATTTTTTGATCGACGAGATCTTCTGCGATCGCAGAAGCCATTAGGTAAGGGGTTTATGCGATAGAGAGTAAGGGTATTCTTGTCTATTTAGTTATTTTTTTCAATCTTAATGATTTTAAATTGTAAAAAATGATTATTAAATAGTAAAATCTATTTAAAAATTAGATTTGGGTAAATATGATATTTTAAAATATTAAGAAGGGCAAATATGATATTTAAAGTTTAGGTCGGACAAATACAATATTTAGATGTTTAGCATGGTATATACGGCCAAAAAAAAAAAACTCCATCATAAAAACTCATCCCTCATACCATTTTTTTATTTTGGACAAACACAACACAAGCCAAGCAACTTGGTTAATAAGAAAAATTAGTAAAATCATGATTATGTCAATTTCAAATATAATTTTGTAAAAAAAAAACAGTGTAATTTGTATTTTTTAACTTTTAACAGATTTACAAAAACAAATAAATTTTAACAAAAGAATTAAATCCATTCTGTTTTTACAGCCAAACTTTTTAACAGATTTAAATTCATTCATATTTCAATTTCAATGAGTTTCATGATTCCGATTCCTTCCAAAAAATCGCAGCAACCTTGTATCCTCAAGGAACGCAGCTTCATCAAAATATCCAGTAACAGCATCACCTTTCATCTCTGCAATTCAATTAAGGTTCAAATTGATGTTTAATTAACCAAAGCAACTCGAAAAATACCCAATTTTTCTACCTAAAATCTCGAGAACTATCACTGTCTTCGACTCAGGCATTACCCGTAGATCTGCTCGACGTGTTTAATTAGGACTCTGGCGAGGCTGTGGAGGATCCTCACGAGCGCATTGCAACGGAGGCACTCTTAAGGTAAATTTCGTAAACCCCATTTATAGTTTCGAGTTTCGAGTTTTCCCATTGGAGTTATTCTTGTTTACCCGTTAATTGAATAATTTAAGCTCAGTTTGTAAATCTTAGAGCTTCAAGATGTTGCAATCTGAGTTGTCTCGTAGTAGACATAGGGCTCAAAATTATCAAGTCGGATTGGTAACTCACAGGGATTCTACTTTTGGGAGATCTGTTGTTATGCATATGAGGAAAAGTTGCATTCCACATTGAGCTTGCAACAAGTTAGAAATCATGTTGTCATACGGCAATAAAGATCTAGTCTATAAATTTTGTTTTTTGAAGTTTGAAACTATTTTTGATTGCTGTTCTTTGTCCTGCATCCTATATGTCATTTAATTTTGTCTGCCAAATCATTGTATGAGATCTTGTGGCAAGAATCTTCAACCATCAGCAAGACATTATCATATGGGGATCTAAGCCTAGCAAATTCATGTAGGGAATTTCAATCATGTTAATGAGTATGGTCTGTATAGAGAAAATGATTACTGTTTATTGTGTGAGCTTAGATATTTTACTGACAATCAAACTTGTATGATACATTTGCTCTTTATTTCTGCAGACAAGTCATAGTGGACAGAATTTAAATACATACATAACAGTGTTGTTTTGGGAACAAAGCTCCTTCAAGGATCTTTAGGGATGATAGTGTGCTTTGGATGGCGACAGTTTCTTTTGTTTGTGACACTTGTTTTCTTTCTAACCCATTTTCTCTCAGGTTCTTATCTTCTTTCATCTGTTTTTTAGCAGTTAAATCATCCTCATAAATCTTTTCACCATAAATAACCAAAATCCTTTGTTATCTTAGTTATGGAGTTGCATCAAGACTCAAATGTTAAAGATCCACACCAAAAGAAACAAAAAAAATTTAATCATCTTGTTCTTGGACCCCCTGCTGGTGAAGGTCTGCCACATCGTTTGCAATGCAAAGGTATTTTCAACAACCTTTAAAATTACTAAAATGTTTCCAAATTTTTTTTAGGCAAGTTTTCAAGATATCTGTTTCGTATTTTTCATCGTTACATATTCTTGATGGCAGTTCAAAAGCCTTCACTTATCTTGTCATCAAGGGCATTTTGGTAATTTTACACATTTTTCTTGTAGGCACCAAGGCTCTTAACAAGATCCAAATATCAACATCCTCCAACATTTCAAATGGTGGTGGTGGTGTTTCTTTTGTTACAATTTTCACGGTTTATAACTCTAGTGTTGATGATGTCAAATCAAGGGATGCTGCAACCATTGTGGGGAGAGTTTCATACACCAAGGTGGAAAGGTCAATGGCAGTCTTGAATACTTTCATAAATTTTATACAGGTACAACTCTAAAACCATGATACCACAAAAAAAAAACTAAAAGTATAATGGCATGATTGGTTTTATTTGAATTTTAATGGTGTGATTATTATTATTATTTTTACAGATGGCAATGCCTCAAAGCAACATGATCATCTTAACTGATCCAGCATCGATGCTTCCACTAAAGAGAAACAGGGTGACTGTATATTCAGTTCAAGGTGAATATTCACGCGACAAGTTGATGCTTCAAAGAATCAGGTCTTACATTGTAAGAAGAGCACCCTGCATGCCTATTTTCTATAATCAGGATGAGGAGGGCATTTACGTCTTTTGCATAGACAAGAGATTGAGAAGCAGTCCCTATGCCTCCCTTTTTGGGTGCCGTTTTGTCTCATTGTCATCTGTCACTGTCACTGACTGTTTTCTACTTCTTGCAGGCTTTTCTAGAGAAAAAGCTTGAAGACCATACACGGGAACCAACCCAAAAAATTACTAATTTTATTTTCACGGATTCAGACATAGCAGTAGTTGATGATGTGGCACAAATATTTAACAAATATGAAAATTTCCATTTGGCACTCACTTTTCGTAACAACAAACAGCAGCCTTTAAATTCAGGGTTCATAGCAGTCAGGGGTACCCCTGATGGAATTTTAAGGTATGTATGTTTAAAAACAGCATCTGTATTAAAAAGAAAAAAAAAATTGCTGAATAATGACTAATGAGACCTTCTGAAAAATATATACATATATATATATATATATATAGGGCAAAGGTTTTCTTGGAGGAAGTTTTGAATGTTTATGTTACAAAATACATGAAAGCTTCACGAATGCTTGGAGATCAACTTGCTCTTTATTGGGTTGTAAAATCTCATACTTCATTTGATGAAAAAACGTTTAATAAAGCAGAACCTTTTCTTGAGGAAATTGGTGGGGCCTCCGTGCTCTTCTTGCCTTGTTTGGTTTACAACTGGACCCCACCAGAAGGTGCTGGTCAGTTTCATGGCATCCCCTTGAATGTAAAGGTAATATTTAACTAATAAAAACTCCCTTTATACCTTCATTTATACCATCTTACTTTCATTTCCTTCTATTTTTGTTTTTTTTTTTCGAAACATTCTACTTTAGAAAATCCATCAAGTTATAGACTTTTTTTTTTCTTGTTAGAACATTATATTTTGAAAAATCTATCCTGAAAAGTTCTTTTGTATTGGAATGACTTTGCTATAATTAGGTAAATTTTTCAAAGTAATAGTGTTATAACAAACAAGTCGATGGAAGTACATTGCTATTTATTGCATTTAATCCAAAAGTGAAAAGAAAAACAGTACATATTACATGAATCAAAGATTTTGGAAAAAAAAAGTGCCAGGGTATAATAATTCTTTTCACACTTGCATACTATATAGGAATTAGGTTCCTATTTTTACATTTTGACAAGAAAGATGATAAATTTGAAATGAAAAATCAAGTATAATAGAATTTTTAATTTTCCAACAAATCTTTTGTTGGATAGGTTGAAATTGTGGGAATTTTTTATTACATATTCCTTTATGTACCAACAAATTTTTTTTTTGGCCAGTCTACCTCATTTTTATAGTATTAATAACTAGTATGCAAAAGACATGAATGCCCTTTTTTTATCCACATCATAAAAAATAACCCTAAAAGCAAGTTAATTTGATCTTTTCTTTTAGGTGGTTCATTTCAAGGGATCAAGGAAACGGCTTATGCTCGAGTCTTGGAATTTCTTTAAGTCGTCTTCTTCTTCTTCATCTCCTGAGGATCATGATGTATCAGTATCATTATCAGACATGTTGTGCCTTGTATTAAGTAGTGGACGAACAAAGTATGATTTTTAAACAACAAAATTAAGGAATTTAAAGAAAAAAAATAGAGGTGTCTCATCTTTTTGTTTTGGTGTTATTTAAGTTTGATTTGGTTGTTTATATGGATTTTTGTGGTAGTGTTTTTTTTAATTAATTAATTTATTATGTATGAATATTTGATTTTTTTTAGTTAAATGAGTTAAAAGGTTGTGTTGTTGTTTTGCTTAAAGGGCCAGAAGATAGGATTATACTAAAAGGGACATGGTAGTGAGTGGTTCAGGTTCGACATAGGACCAATCTATTCTACGCCCGGTTGGTATCCATTAACCATTATTTCGTTTTTTGTCTTTTAATTATTATTTTTAGAATAAATGATTTTTGGATAATTAGTTATAAACACAAACTGAAAAGAATTTCTCAAATAAAAGAATTTGATATTCTTTTAGTGTGAAATGCAAGGAACGGTAATATACTTTTATTTATTTGGTTATTGTAACAAATCATTATTATGATAGTATTATTTTACTTTTAACTTTTTTTTTTTACCAAACTATTGTTTCTTTTGAAAAAAAAAACTATTTGCAGCAATTGGTAACCGGTAACCCACTTGTGATTTCAATTATGTGGCGTATTTTTTTATTTTTATTATGCCAATCTCATTGTTTATTTTTTTTATAATGTTTTGAAAGTTGGTTTTTTAGTTGAACTGGTCTAACGACGGTCGACCCGTAATTGCACATATAACTCATGTCCTTAAATATTTATATATCACTCAAAAACTAAGTAGCATAAAACCCTATAATTTAATGTCGGTTATCATTCTTTCCAAAAGCCATGGACAAACTGAAAAACTCTAAACAAATACTCATAAATATGGAAGAACGAAGAAACTAGAACAACATGCATGTTGAAAATTCACAGACCGAGAAGAGAGCATAATAGATCTGTGTTTTAGTATGGAATAAATGGGAACTGAGATGCAATATTTATATATGTACGAAACCTTATTTGTTGTTTTAGGTCAAACAACTAGTATTTATATCCCTTGAATTAATGTAACATAATGTATCAGAAAAATGATTCAGTAGAAAGTATTAAAATATCTATAAGTGGCCACCGTGGACGTAGCCGATCATCCTGATCATGTGAACCACATATATTTATTGTGTTCTTTGTTTTTCGTTTTGGATTATTACTCTGTGTGAAATCGTCTATCTTTTGTTCAAATGTTTAAACACTAATAAGAAGACCTCCAAAAAGTAGGACGGTGATGACAGTCATCCATGTGGAAAACATGGAAACTAGGTTTATCCCTAGTCTCCAAGCTTACCTGTTACATTATCATTTATGGATTGTTAAAATATATTTGTTAATAACTCACTAAAGCCTCATCAAATGTTATTCATCCCAGGAACAAGGAAATTAGAAAGCTTGTTAGTTAAAGAAAAAATAAAAAAGTAAATGACAAATCTAATAACATTATCGTTTATGAATTGTTAAAATATATTTGTTAACATGTTAACAAGTGGATTGTTAAAATATATTTGTCATGTTAACAAGATTTAAACCCGTTGAAATCACGGTTGAAAAAGAAAAAAAAACACTATTGATAATTTCAAATCATAATAACTAATCAAATATTTGTAAAAAAATTATTAATTTACAAATATAGTAATTTTATCTGTAAGTTTATAACAATAGATAAAATTAATATATACATTGAATATTCAATCTATGTTTGTAGACATATTTGATAAAATCATGATTCTATAGAATACAATATAAATTTGAATAGAATTTGATCGAAATAAAGAATAAGTAGGTAGTTTTATACATGTTAAGTAAAAGAAAATAAATAATAATGAGAAAACATTAAGAATTTCTAAATTATAACCATGGATTTTCTAAAGACTTAATAAGCACTAGTCAAGGGAAAGCACAAAAGTAGTATGTTATAACAAAAAAAAAGTTTGTTGCTATTTCTACATTAGACCCTTAAAAACATAGATAATATGTTCGATTATTAATCAAAGAGCTAAAATGTAAGATAGGTCATCATATTATGAAAAATCTATCAAATTATGACATCCCACTATTAAAAAACATAAAATAATAAAGATTATTAGTTTATACATGTAATCAAGAACCAAAATTTGTATATTTTAAAATTCCAAGAGAAATGCTATAAATAGATAAATATTTTGAGGTACAATATTGTAATAGGAAACATTGAAATTAAGATAATATAATAAAGTATACAACTACATTTTTCTAAACAAAAAATTTATAATTTAATACATTTGTTGGATTGTAAACATAAACATATACACAAACAACGTTGAAAGAAAGTATGTTAAAATCACATCATTTTTTTTAGATTTTTATCAAAAATAAAATATACCTACTAGTATAAACCTAAAATAAGTATACCTAAATTTTACATTGTTATCTCTTTTTTATCCCCATACCATGGCTTAATTTTCATCATGCAAACTATTTAATAATTATCTTATTGCCAAAATAACTTAGTTTAATCGAACTATTTATTTGGTAACGTATTAGTAGTTAAATTTGTATACCAACTATTATTTCGTAGGGTACACAATTTAGGAGAATAAGATGTGGTATCATACCATGTTCACCCCATATTCACAAGATATGGGTAACAATTTCAAGGTAAATGAAGAAAGTTTTTATAGTACTAAAAACAATTACTTTTTAAATATTTTTTTGGTGAAGACTATACAAAAGTCAATTCTGAGCAAATAGTAAATTTCGCCATTACGAAATTGATGATAATTTGTAATGTTTTAAAAACCGATTTGAACCGGCCGGTCGAATCGGTTGGATCGGGAACCGGAGGAGAAAGCGGTTCAACTATCACCGGTTTTACGTCGATTTCTGAACCGGATTGAATCGGCCGGTTTTTAGAAAATCCCGGTTGAACCGCTTAAAATAAATCGGTTGAACCGCTTAAATCGAATAAAAACACATAGAAAAGAATTATTTACCTAATAAGTTTTGGTGATTTTTTTCAAATATATTTAGTTTTCTCTAAATTAAAACATTAGGTAAATGTTTTAAAGTTTTTTAATGTGTTTGTATTCATCTAAAACTATATTTTGTTTTGGTATTATAATTTATTTTCTTTTTTATATATATGGATTGATGTAAACACTAAAACTTATGGTTATGTGTCATTTTAATGTATTTGGATTGAACTACAACTTATTTTTATGTGTATTTTTAATGGTTGAATTTGTAAACGTCAAATTCATGATTTATATATGTATGTATGTTTAGGAAAATGGAAAAAAAGATGACAATTATAGAAACTGGTTGACCCGACGGTCGAACCGGTTAAACCGGAAACCGGTCACCATACCGGTTCAACTTAAAAACCGATTTTTAAAACATTGATTATTTGTGGAAAATAATAAGCGTAGCATAAGACTACAGTGACTAGATTTATCATTTTCTCAAAATAATATAAACAACAAATGAATAAAATTTATTGTTGTTTTTCTTACGTTTGATACAAAGTAAAATTTCATTTTCATTTGGGGCTTCTTTATCTTTAATAGTCGAAGTGTTCTTGTAAGAAAGAAAACTTACCAATTCATTATAAAACCACAATTATAATAGAGTGACGTAATAATATAAATCAATCAAACTATTTACAATATGAACATATTGTTATTTTGCTCATCGGGTAAATGGTCCAGTTCAATGAGATATGTTGGATCAGGTTTTCAATAGAAACAAAATTTATTTATAACCGAAAACGATACAAACAAATACTTACATATCTATACTTGTATCCGTTCGGTTGGGATTTCAAAATATTGACGTTACACTTTTGTCCTCGACCAAATTATAGCCCCACATGCCCCAAACAAATAAAACACCACCAACATTTCTTGAAATGGACTAATCAATCATGAGTCATGGACTAATCAATTCATGTGAATTTTGTTCTAAGTAATTGGTCAAGTTGTCTCAATTAACAATGTATTTATTTGTTTTTTTTATCAAATAAGATTACATATTTATCTTTTACTGATAATTACAATTAACTTTTATTCAATTTGAACATGGTTCTAGTACATTTAAAACATTTAACTATTTATAAAATACAAAAGTTGTATATAAACTGATATTGATTGTTTTTTCTTATTTTAAACTCTATCTAGCATGACATGATTATTTTGGCATCTCCTAAGCATAATATAAACTATGATTGAATACTAAAGTAATTGATTCTGATTTGTTTAGCGAGCATTTTCTACACCCATATATATGGAATAAATGAAGAAGAACAAGTCCTATAATGAACGCTCTTCAAACTGATGTAACAACTTAAATATGAGTAGGTCATCTCCAATGCATTGAACTCTTAAGAGTTTAATGGATTGTCACATCAACATTCCACTAACTATATAATTTTTATCCATTAAACTCTACACTCCATAAACTCAGTATTTCCACATCAACATTTAATTATTTCTTTTTATAAATAATATTGTAAAACTATAATATTACATTAATTAGAAATTAAAAGTTACAAATTACAAATTATTAATTAAAGATTGTTGTATATGTTATTGTTTTAAAATATTTTTAAGATTTAAATATTTTTTTGTTTAGAATATTATAATATAAATTATCTCGATTTAAATTGTTGAATATAAAATAAAATAAATTACAAATATTATAAATAAGAAAATAATGACATATACCTTGTGCATGTATGTAGGGTCTAATTATTTAAATACAAAGTTTTATTGGTGAAATGGATAAAAAAAATTGAAAATTTTCATACCATCGTTCAATGGGTATTAAACCCCAATTCATTGAACTCCACCCACAATGGTGGGTTTGATGTATTGAACTCACTTTTTCCCCATTAAACTCACCATTAAATCCCCATTGGCGATGGCCTAAAGATCATTGGGGATGACCTAAAGATCTTAAAGTCGACAACAATACAAGAGTTCTACCGTAGTAGGATTCATGTACTTTCCTTGCACTTATAGATTTCGTTATCTTCATGAGTGCCTTTATGTTCTTAGTATGACTAGAAATATAGCATCTTTTATTGCTTTGTCAAATAATGGATTTGATTATTTTATTACTAACGATATGAATTCCATTTATCAAAATGGAGTCTTTAAT